AATTTCTTTCGAAAATAAATGAAGTGTTCTACAGTCTACATGCCTTGTTGTCATAATTTTTTGTTTCAACAGGCCTAGGCCTATATATAAATATTAATTGTTTAACATTTTAACATCACTCATGTCTGCAAATTTATTTTGATTATTACATATGCCTTTTCTTTTTTTTTTTTTAAATTAATTATGCGTTTTTCTTTATGTTTCAGTCCGTCGATGCAGCCAAACGTAGCGGTAAGTTATGGGATTAGAGAAACGTGAATAATATTTGACTAGGCCTACATTGAAATATAGACCATCCCACTAAGTCCAGCATCATATTATTTCTAGGTCGCACAAACGACAGTGTGAACGTGTGTGTTTGTGGGACTTACGCGTAGGACTACTCGTGACCCTGTTCCTGGACCAGTTTGATTGACACTTCGGAATGGTTCATTTTTGTCAATCAGTTGTCACACTATATTATCATTCTCCAAGATAATGTTTTTGTTTTCCTTGACCAAAGATCTCTGTCTTATTCAACAATATTGTATGTTTAGCGTAGTAGTGCGAAAGTATACTGATTTTTATAATTTTAATTCCTATACAATTAAACCATAGTTAAATGATTAGAAAATGATAAATAATAAAATAATAATTAGACAAGATTAGATATACATAACACTTAACATTGTTTATATTAATAATAACCCTATCACAATACTGAAGGTAGTTTCAGTTATCAAACACATGCCGTCAGTGTTTCCTTACAAATTACAGAATCAACCATCAAACAATATTTCAAGGCTAGACTAAATGTTTACTCCAAGTGCAAAACATTATTATTCACATGAAGCACTGTTGCGTTCAGTATTTGCTTTTGAAATTTGCAGAAGTGGGTAAAACAAACCCGAGTGGGGGTCCGAAACTAAGGGTCTCATGGGAGTGAGAGAAAAAAGTTAGGATGGTAAACATTGTGCCTTTAGTTTTACACTACTATTAGTAAGTATTCACAACAGCAAATAATTATTTTTAGTACAACGACATTGAGTGCGACCGATGGCAGGAGGTCCATTCTTGTCCGACAGGTATTTTGCAATGAATCGGCGCCACCACTGATTACATGCCTGCAGTTCATTTGCTTCAACTACCTTTCACCCAGGGATCATTATCTTTATGTATAATATTTGTATTATCATTATTATCATTTGTACAATGAACTTGTTATCATTATTTAATACATCGTTGCGTACTATATTTATTATTTTATATATTATATATTTTTATTCTTGATAGTTTGAAAATTTTATATTTGTAATATCAGTTTTACAATCATTTCTTGATTATGACGTATTTATAATCTCTTTTAAGCCAATACCAACAACAGAAACTCTGGAAACGATGTTGACTGGTCGAGTCGGATAAGGTATGAACTTCCATCTTTTATAACAATAAAAAAAAATAATTATAAAACGACAGAGGATACTTAATAAAAGAAGCCCTTAAAAATTGAATGAGGTTAAATCTGGTCTTCAGAAACTCTTCAGAAACTCAGTGTGTGTTATTCTAGCCATAAACCTGATCTAGAAACAACATACAAAATCTAATCCATTCGGAAACATATTGCCATACGTGACGCACACTTTAGATTAATTTTAGCTTAGTGGAAGAAACGTTTGGGTCGCATCACGATGATTTTTTTTTTTGCAACTGTTTTATTTTTAAATTTTAGGTTAGTCGATGGGGACAGTGAGAATATTGGTCGTGTTGAAATCCGTGCAGAGATTAAGCCGGGTAGGATTAAGTGGGGTAAAGTATGCCACGATAAATGGAGTCAAGAAGATGCGGATGTTGCTTGTAGACAGTTGGGTTTTACAAGGTAAATGGAAATGTGCTTCTGTATTTCCACTTTTCTAGGCACCCATAAAAGGCACCGTAAAATAATGAATTGGCAGATATGAATTGTTGTTTGCCCACCAAGGACTAGCAACTCCTCATCAACATTATTACATTATTTAAAAGTAGGTTATATTGCTGTATGGTACGGTAGTTAAATTATCCTAATTTGCTTTAGCAAAACACTTTATATTCGTCGCATGAAAACAAAAGTTCCCTCTCCGCCAGAGGTCGGGCATACACCTCCACCCCAGGCATAAAGTCTTTCACAACCTTAAGTCAAAGGAATCCACTCTACACTGAAAGTGAACATATTCTGTCTCTTAAATGTTACAAACCTCCCCGCCAGAGGACTCTCAATTCCACCTACGCGAGGAACATATTAGTGGAAACTCATTGCATTGCCTTACCGTTAAAAATATACATTCTAGGAATAATTCTTTAAGACCAGCGATTTCCACTACAAATTTTCAATATTCGAATAGTTTTATCTGTGTTGCTTATTACTGTTGTAGAACTGTTTTAAGCGTTAATAAACCAAACACAATGGATGCTAACTGTCTACAACACTGTTGTAATCAGAAAATATTCATCTCACAATAATAAATTTAATAATTATTATAATTAGCATTCAATAATTGCAATTCCCAAAAGCTAAAAACCATAGTATTTTTTTAGTTATCGTTAATTAATATTACAGAGGTGCAATGAAAGTGATCGCAAATGCACAGAACCAGTTTGGGGCTGGCAAGTTAAACTTTTTTATGGATGATGTTATGTGCAGTGGTACTGAAGATGCTTTACAGCTTTGCATTTTCGGCAAGAAAGGGAATATGAAGTTTGGTAGAGGAAATTGCAAGGATAAAAGGAAGAGAGTTGCTGGCGTAGAATGCAGGTCCAACCTAGAAGCAACAAGTAGGTCAATTAAAAATGAAAATTAACACTTTCCAAGTTTGGTTCGTAGTTGCCTCCTCTTTGAAGGCACTAGATTCGAGGAGTAACATTGTCAATGTGTGAAAATCTGAGGTAAATCGGTCCAGTAGTGTTTGAGTTATCTCGGAAGGCCACACACAGACAGACACACACACACACACACCCACATACACCCCCCCCCTACACACACACCCACACACACACTATTGCAATACCCTTTGCGAGGATAATAAAGTAATACAATCAACCAGCAAAACATGTAAAACTGATATAGCAGTCAAACTATGTATTTTTATTCCAAATATAATACAGTGTCCCTCACAAGGTGCATTTTAATCATGTAAAATAGTATAATGTATGGTAATAAATACAGTGAGTTTAGTTTGTTATTTCTCTAAAGCAAACCCCACCTTACTGTATGTTATTTATTTCTTTTTGCAGCTCCATCTCCAAATTGGTTGAATAAGTTTGCCTTCTTTCCAAATGCTGCGATTCCAGCTAGTAACAACATAATGCTAGAGAACATGAATCGAGAAAGTTGTGCAGCTCAGTGTCTCCAACAAGTAGCATTTGAGTGTCGATCCTTTGATTATGATAAAAAGCAAAACAGATGCTGGCTTAGTGAAGACAACTCGCGCTCCGTGTCACTTAGTTTCGCATATCCGGATGACCCTTACGATTACTATGAAAGAATTGATATAGGTATGTTGACTGCTTTCATTATCTAATAAACATGTTTACTGTACCCATGGGCGCCTAACAATATCTTCCAACTCCATCCAACTTGTTCGACCGGTCTACCACAAACGTATTTGTGACAATTCATTCCCTTCAATTAGTTAAGTTAGCACACTTTGCTTGGGCTTGGTTCTATGCAAGCTTTACTCGTGTGGAGGGATTGGGGATGTGTTTGACTTATTGTGGGGAGTCGCTTACAGCGCTTCGTAACTGTATAGAAAGGCGCGATACAAGTAACAATTAACTGTTTATTTACTTCGAATAAAGATAAATTCAAATTAAAACGAAATAATGTTATATAAACTATAATATTGAATGGATTTAGTAGTAAGATTAATCCCGTCCGTAATATTCGTTGCAAACCACTTTTTAAAGTTAAATACTTTGTCGTCTTTAAATTATTGTCTTTTTAAAAATTTGCTACAATTTGTTTTAATTGTAGATTCAATCAATTTAAGTGTGCTATTATTGATCTTATTTAATGTTATTGCGGGTTTTTGTCTTTATTATCAACCTTGTTTTGATTTTAATGATATTTCTTTTTCTAAGATTGCCTTTATATAATCGTTTTTCTTCTTAAATTATGATATATAATATATATATAGGCATATATATATATATATATAAATTATAATATATACATATGTATATATTTATATATATAAATTGTATTTTATATCTTATTTCCATCCTGTTATAGTGCTTACACTGTTGGATGCAATAAGAACGAAATAAAGAAATAAATATTTCTACAGCAATATACATTTTTATAATGTGATTGTTCTTTATAAATAAACCAGTATTTGTTCTTGTTTTGTTTGTTTGTTTGTTTAATATACAGTTGGGTTGTTTTATTTTATTAGGAGCTGTTTCATCTTTTGAGATGGTGCCAAACTCTGCGTTGCCTGGACAGAACGCGATTGAACATCGCAACACTGTATTAGAGGAATGCGCCGAGCTTTGTCTCGCCGCAACCTTCTCTTGTGCGTCTTTCGATTTTTCTCGTGGCACTAACCAATGTTGGTTAAGCACTGCCAACCGTACAACAGCAACTACACCACTTCGCAGTGATTATCCGAACAACCCCTACGATTACTTTGAACGGAAAAAGATCTGTGAGTACACATATTATCCAATAGCTTTCCATTATACTTACTGTATGTTAACAAATAACTTTCTACCTGTAAAACACATATCGATCTATCTATATTATGATTCCGATTTATTAATTGAAAACATGAGGCATGTTGTGGCGAAATGGTTAAGTTGTCGCATAGTCAAGTATTGAGTAAATGAGCTATAAAATATGGGAGCTCAAAAAATTGGCTAAAAATCCTTGTTTTTCACTATAGATCAACAGTTTAATGTCTTATTAATCATGTCCCAAAGTATTAGTTCTGGAAGTGGTTAATAAATTGTTTATTTAACGTTATTGTTCATAGTTCATTCTATAAACAATGTATGCAAAAATAACTTTGAAAGGCAATTACTCAAAATCATGTTTATCTTAACTGTACTTCCACTTTCCAATAACTTAGGCTTGAAATGTCTAATTTGAATGAATGACCCATCATTTTAAAGATCACATACTCAGGTATCGGAAAATACCAATAACTTGAATTTTAATTTTTGCTACAACTTATCTATTTTGCCACAACATGCCTCACATGATTGTAAACTTTTTGTGTCCATTTGTTTGTCCATAAGCGTTCTACCAGCTTTTAAGTGACTGTTTTAACGTCTGATGTAAGTTGTACGGTAACTGTTTTATTTACAGTTTCCATGAACATCTGTATTTAAAATTATAGGAATCTAAGGGCATGATTTATAGTGGTTTTTTTTCAAATGTGTGAATGTATTAATTTTATTGAAGCGGTCCGTGAATGTACTGAAGGAAATGGGGAGGACTACAGGGGAGAAGTTTCAATGACCGCAGGTGGTAAACGGTGCGCTAACTGGATGGAGGTATCCAGCACAGTGGACGTCAATCCTATAACGTTTCCAAACAAAGGTATTTCAATGCTTATTGTCTTGACATTTATTGTATCAATTAATCAAAACAATTAGGATCACAGAAAGTATTCGAACAACTAAAAACATTCATATTGCCCAGAAGTACTAAATAAAATTACATCTAATTATTATAACGAAATTGCAAGTTATTTTTTCTGTAATTCAACCGATGGCGCCCGGTTACCTTGGTATATATTTATATCTGTATTATTTACCAAGAAAAGTACTGGTATGTTTGTTATTAAATTCGTTTGTAGGGTATACTAATTGTGAGAATCATGATTACAAACGGAGATTGATATCTCAAGTTCTTTAAAATAACCTGTAGGGCTAGGTGACCACAACTTCTGCCGAAATCCTGATGGTGATGAAGAACCATGGTGCTACTATCTGTCTTCAGTCTCCATTCTTGGCTTAAATGTGGTGAATGGGTGGGGATATTGCAGAATTGCTCTTTGTGAGACACCAACAGAGAAGCCTCAAGCACCAACCCCATCCAATCAGATAAGTAAGTGAAATAAATATGAAACAGTTTCAGAATATATTAGAAATTATAGAGAAATTAGAATCAGAGCAGCTTGGGTCAGTCGGCTAAATAATTGGTAGTCCCCGATTCAATTCCATCCGCTAATTTCCTTGTGTTTCAGCTTGAGTGCTGAAATACAATACGATAGAGCACCGTCTTTCGGATGAGACGTTCAGGCCGTTGGACTCGTGTGCAATAGTTTTTGCTGAACGACGTTAACCTTAACTTTAACGTTAGTACCCAACATGCACCTCGATAGCCCAGCCTCTTTTGTAAACAAATCGAAATACGCATGCGCAAAACTCGTAACTAACGTACGTCGAGCACTTAAAATCCTGAAAATAACGTACTCAGCAAGGCACGATGAATAAATTATGACGTCATCCGTTAACGTTAAAGTTAGCCTTAACATTAACGTTAGTACCCAACATGCAACGCGATAACTCCGCCCCTTTTGTAAACAAATCGAAATACGCATGCGCAAACCCGTACTAACGTACGTCGAGCACGTAAAATCCTGAAATTAACGTACTCCTCAACGCAATATGCATAAACCATGACGTCATCAGTTAAAGTTAAGGTTAACGTCGTGCAGCGAAAACACCATATTATGGCCCATTTGCACGTTAAAAAACGCAGTACACTATTGGGAAAAGAATAGAAGATTGAATAATGGTCTCCCGGTGGCTAATGCCCAAAACACCACCAGAAGGACCCTACTAAAAACAACTCTTCGAATTTTTTGCGGGTTATTCTTTGTGTAATTCACACCAAAAATATTCCAGTACTCCAAAACATACTTAATAATAATAATAATAATAATAATAATAATAATTGTGTTTTACCTCGAATGATCTGCTTTCTGTGATATACACTGTATGTAATTCACATTTGTAGAATTATTATCTCTTGGAAAGCCAACTGGTCAAAGCAGTACTACCACGTGGTCAAGTATTGTTGGCAGCTCTGATAAAGCTGTCGATGGGAATTTGTCTCCAAACTTCTTTGAAGGAAGCTGTACTCATACAGGTACGTAGACTCTTGTTTTTTTTTGCCCTTATTTTTGCAGTAAAAAAAATTGATAAGTTGTAGAACTGATTTTTCTATGTCAGAATAAAAGGTTCTTTGACAAAAAACAGTGGAAAGGTGAATGAAATACAAGTTTTTGAATATTTAAAAACTGAGGAAAAAAGGTTTTAAATATTATTCCAAAAACGCCATTACAGACTACCGTATACTACCAGTTTAATTTTTGTGGTATAATGTTTATTTTTCAACATTATTTAGTTAATAACAACATACACTTGTTTGGTCCATCTCTTAAGGCATTTAATTTCTACAATATTTTATAGTGTTCCAATCTAACAATATTTGATTAGGCTGCAGTTTTAATTAAGAAACAATATTTGAATGAATTTATATAGATCTTGAAACAAGGCCTTACTGGTATGTGGATCTTGGCAGGGACTATGACATTGAATACGTGGACATTGTTAATAGACTTTCAAAAGGTAAGTACCATATCTATTTACTTTATGGTGTATTTTGCACGTGTTATGCTGTGTAATATGCTGTATTACAGTTAAGAGGAGGATTAAGAACTCCATCGATCAATCAATCAATCAATCTTGCAGTCAATCATGCAATCCATTAATTTATTAGGCAAACATAAATTACTCAATCAAACAATCAGGCAATCAAACAATCACTCACCTGTTAATCAATCAATCAATCAATCAATCACACTATTAATAAGACAGTCGATATAGCAATCAAACATCCAACCATCCAACTAATCATCATATCAATAAATTTATTTATCATTTCGATTGCTATAATTATTGATAAAAATAAAAGATAATAACGTATATTTCCAGGTGACCGTCTAGTTAATGCCCAGGTGGGTATAAGCAAGGCGTCATCGCAGAATTCATTTGTAAATTGTGGTGGTGCTATCACTAATTCCATATATGAGGCCAGTCTAACAGATTCGACAAGAAGTATCAGGGTTAGTTGTGGAAGACTTATCCAAGGTCGTTACGTAACAGTGTCACTGACTGATACACAGAATTACCTTACTCTCTGTGAGGTCAGTGTATATGGATACAGCTTAGCAGGTAGGCCTATGTACAATTGGTTTCTTTAATTTTAATTTCCTTTAATTGTAGAGGCTGGAAGCCAAGCTTATTAGTCCCTCGTTACATGTCCATCTTTAAAGTAGGGGACAACCTTAGATAGTGTGATGATAATAATAATAATATGATGATGAAAATTGTGATGAGACATGAATTCACTCTATTATGCTCCTTGTGCATAACAGCAAACAAAGAGGTTTGACTAAAGATTTCGGAAAACTAAAGTGAGTTATGTAATTTAACCACTTGTTTTTGTAGGAGAACAACCACAACCAACTGCTAGTCGACTTTCAACTCCACGTGCAACAACACTGGCACCAACTTGCAGTACTACTGAGTTTCGTTGTGCAGATGATCAAAGGTTTGGTTTGCTCACACTTTCCAGTTGTTTTATTGTTATCGGCTCTCATGTTTCATTCTTTCCTTATTTTCTTGTAACCAATTCTCTTGGTTGGTGCTAACCTTTCTAAAGACAACTAATAATCTCAGACGCAGAGGCGGCGCTAGAGATTTGCCGACAAAGTCCCTGATGGGGGTTCACCTACTTTAGCCACATCATGGTTGGAGTAAATTTTAAGAATTTTAAGGGATGTAATTTTTTTTTTCACCTATGGAGTTCCAGGGTTCCTCGACTTCGAGGATCCCACCACCACACTAGCGTCTCCACTAGAAGAAATCCTAAATCACTAGCTTAATAACACATACTATAATGCCTACTGCAAGATAAATTATATAAAATTGTATAAGTGTTGTTTGTTTTAAATTTTCATTAGGTGCATTCCAATTGCTTGGCAATGTGACGGGGAAAACAACTGTGCAGATCAGAGCGATGAGGAAGGATGTGGTAAGAATAACATATGCTTCTTTTAATACAAATCAGTCATTTGAATATAATTGCATTTTTGAACATAAATATCCAAAAGGGGAATTTAGATTACCATTGTTGGCATTGATTAATGCTTGATGACTTTGAACGACGTGGGGTGGGGGTGGGGGCGGGCACAAACGTTTCAGAATAAAAAAAAATGAGTAGCACATATCATGAATATGCATTGACATTTTTATAAATTAGTGGCAAAACGGAGGGTGGGGACACTTACCCCCTACTGGATCCGCCCCTGCTATGTTAAGGATGTTATTATCCTTTCATCACTTACCTAAAGGTTTTTCAAGTAATTTTTATACGCTTTATTATAATAATGATGATATTTGACCTTCAAATTATTTTTTTTGTTGTATTTTTAAAGTGTTGCTTTTTAACATTTTTTATAATAATTTTTATAATACCTTTTATGAATTCTCCGTCAGCAACTTAATTATAATGCATTTTATAATTTTATCTTCATTTTAATTGGTAAAAAAAAACCTTATGGTTATATTTTATATAATTTTTTTGAATACGTAATTATTTGTATTTTATTGTGTTGGATGGGAATTGGGGAGCCACATAGAAAGTGATTAATTTTGCTGTTGGCAATCCGGTCCACCACTTGCAAACATTTTTAATTGTCTTTCTTTTTTTATTGTCCTTTTTTTTTAAATATTGTATTTTATATCAAGTAACGAAATAAATGAAATGAAATGAAAGTGTTTAACAAAAACTACGGGGTCTTCTAACTTAAGGTTCTGATTATTTACAAAGAGACTTGGGTAAAAACTTATTTGATCTCTGGTTATGTTTTTTGATTTTGACAAAGAATTTTAGGCCTATACATAGTCATACAAGACGGCGCTTTCCAAAGTAGAAAAGAATAATTTGTGTAACCTTATATCAGGAGATTACATATAAATAAAAATTAATTTCTGCGCATCTTCTTATTTAGTGAATCCATTAGATGACTTCCGCCAATTTGACAACCAGAAACTTCCAGGAAAAGCTAGGCCGGAGGAAGAATACATGCGAGTAAGCGTGCGACAATGTTCGCAGTATTGTGTTGACAGCGAATCATTTGTCTGTCGTTCGTTTGACTATAAAAAATCTACAATGGATTGCTACCTATATTCACTAAACAGAGCACTAAAAGGAGGTTTAGCAGATAATTCAGACTACTTGCATTATGAAAGAATTTCACAAACAAGTAAGTTTCATAATTATCTTATATTTTATAAACAATTTCAAGGACAATTATACAAAAATATGTATTAAAACACATAAAATAATTATTTGGTAAATATGGAAAATACTATTCTAAGAATATAAATGCACTGATATGCTATGTAATAAACATTTTTGTAAATGCTTGGGTGACCATGAATAAGAAATAAAACAAAATTGATTTAATTTGTAGGTAGGTGATTAAAAATAATCAATTATATGTTTCTATTTGGTGATTTCTTAACTAAATGAATCGATACATGCTTTCATTTTTGGAACTTACCTCGAAGATAATTGATTCAGAGGCGTATAACAAATTCACTTTATGATAGACCTCATTTTCCCTTCACAATGTATATGTATTTCATATGTGTATGTATTTTGTTCAAGCTGACTGTGGTGAAGTTGATAACCAGCCCTACCACCCATGCCCCTCTGGTCTGTGTATTCCGATGAGCTGGTTGTGTGATACCGAAAACGATTGTAAAGATTTCAGTGATGAGTCTAACTGTGGTAGGTTCCCAAAACATACTCTGTAGGCCTATCATAGCACACAATTCTGCATTTGTATTGTGGGGGCAGACAACTGGTTTTCACTAGTGCTGTAATAAATCACACTTTAGAAAACAATGACATTGTCATTTTAATTTTTTTCATTAGGTACGGTGGCGCCATTTGAAGTGCGCATCGTTGGTGGCACCTCGGCGAGTGAGGGGCGATTGGAGGTGCGCTGGATGGGTGTTTGGGGTATTGTCTGTGATGATAGATGGGGCATAAAGGATGCTAATGTTGTTTGCAGACAACTTGGATATTCAAGGTATTGTGTTATAAATTTATGTATCAGCCTTATAAATGTACCGTATTGAACGATTATAAATTCAATGTTGTTGTACATTATTACTCAACTTCAAACGTTAAAAAATAATGAATGAGAGCATAAAGTTCATAGAACAAAGAAACCACCATTTTATCCTGAATTGTAAACAATTTGTGAATAAATTTCCAGTATTAAAACTAAATTATCTAGCAGCCTGGTGCACAATGTGTGTCGGATTGGCTCATTATGAATGGACTTTTGATTAAGGGTGAAATCATTAGGAGTGGGCTTCGGGCGCAGAAACCATAACGTTACTAGAAATGTTGGTAGTATATGAGGTTTAAATTTATTGACGACAATTGAGTAAGTTTCGATAAAAACTGCAAACTGATATTCAGGTGGAATATATCTCGTTAGGTATTTTGAGCCAACACGACTTATAATGTAATATAAGTTGCGCATTTTTTAAAAATTAATTGTTTGATCTTCCTTGCTCTGACTGACCTTAACGTTTGTTGTACTGACATACTGCAACATACAAATACACAACCCGAATTTGTCTATAGGAATACTCTTATGGGCGCCCCCAATTATGCTTTGTAACGCAAATGATCTTGTTTTTGAAAGTAAAAAAAGGAAGTTTTGGTTTGTTCACCAATTACTGTGTTACCTATTGTTTATTCAGAGGTGCCTCAAGAGCAACAACCATGGCAGAATTTGGCTCTGGAGGATGGAATATCATTCTAGATGAGGTCCAATGTACAGGTTCAGAAAGCTCACTGGCAGATTGTCCAAATGCTGGCTGGGGAAATAATGATTGTGTAAGAGGAGAAGCTGCTGGTGTAGTCTGCTTATTGGATACTGGTTAGTTTATATTTTGATGAATATCATCTTATTGTAATAACCTAACATTAAATCTCAAAGTTTTATCATCTGTTCAGATAGTTATTGTTCCTCTGTTCCAATTCTTGTTGACTCTTCTTAAAATGGGTCCACCATCATTCTTCATCAACATCTTTCCTATGGAATAATGGCAACCACATTCATTCAAAATCGTAAATAAACTAGCATTTATTTCGGTGTATTATAGTGCTACGGATACATTCTTAAATGCTACTTAACTCAAGTGCACAAATTTATACAATATATTTTGCTTTGGCTTTTCCATAGGTTGCATCGATGGGCAATTTAAATGTGGAAATGACTTGTGTATACCAGAGTCTCAGAAATGTGATGGACAGATGCAATGCGTTGATGGAAGTGATGAAATTGGTTGTCCTACCGGTATGTCAATCAGTCACTTTTATTGATAGGCTTAAATGGTAGCATGCCTAGTCAATGTTTGGGCCGATACAGAATCAAAGAGATGCTTGGGCCCCTTTTAATTTCATCTTGTATTGCAGTTGGATGTCTGAATCATTGCCTTTCGTAAGAGACAGTTAAGCGGAGAGTTAAGTGTGCAATTAGACTTGTGAGCACAGTATAACTATCACCACTATGCACTAACATTTCATCACAATCACAACACAACACAATTAAATAGAAACCGGAAGACCTATAGACAAATATCGAAATAGTGTAGTTTTTTTGCAAATATTATTTAAAAGAAATCTGAGACAACGAGGGAAATGTTATATTGTTTTAATATTATTTTACTTAATATACAACTTACCAATTTCAACTATTATTTGTTTATAAGACAGCTCGACACAGATAGTATATTTTAACTTCGATTATGTTTGTTTACATAGAAAACATGTAAAACAATGAAACAATAATTATTATTTAAGAGGCACCTATGGAACTACCCGTTCGACTTGTTGGGGGACAGAATGCAAATGAAGGTCGATTAGAAGTGTTGTATGAAGGAGTTTGGGGCACTGTCTGTGATGATTCATTTAACGAAAAAGCAGCTGAAGTTGTCTGTAGAAAACTCGGCATCAGGTATGTTCGATTCTGTGGTTGCTATAGTATGACCCCCTGTACTCTGCCACATCTTTATACATTCCGGTTGGGCTTTATATTCTGTGTTGTCCATGCTGTTCATTTGATTGATTTCGTCGTTGGAAAAACTCCATCCGGTACACCAGTCTTGTCAATTTTGTCCCTTACCCATGGGGTAGATTTATTATTTTTCAATCCATTACTGTAGCTCGTTCGTAAAGGATCATTATATCACTGTTGTATAACTGGGTGTCAAAACCTCATGTTAATGGGACAATATTACGTTTTAGGTTATTGTCCCCTAAATAGGGTTAGTTCTATCCAAAGGATACGCCTCTTTAATATTGGACACTTTACTTGGTCCCGAAGGTGTCCCCTTGATGTTGTTTTTTTTTTTTTAATTTTTTTTTTATTGCAATATTATTATTATATATTACCAATACCGGTATTTTAATAGTAACAACTATTATTATTTCTATTTATTAATAATGTTATCTATTATTATTACTAATGTTTTTAAATATCATATTATTAAATAATATAATATTTAAACACATTAGTAAGGCATCTGGAAAGGTCCTTTCAAAATCTAGTAATTATTAAGACGAAATTAATTGTTGACGTATAAATCATACAATAAAGACAGAATGATTTTTTTTTCAATAAATACACCGGTGTGTATTTATTTATTGAACTGTCTAATGAGGGTAATTGAATTAGTATTATTTAATTTAACTGGAACATCAATTTTGATAGTGGCGGCGTTGAATATTTACCAACTACTGTGTTTGGAGAAGGGGACGGGCCTATATTACTCGATGACGTTGTTTGCCATGGTAATGAAGATGACTTGGCCCAGTGCGATCATTCAAAACTACGAAAACACAATTGCCGTCATAACGAAGACGTTGGTGTACGTTGTGGTATTGAGACGACTACTATAGGTAGGTATTCTCTATTCGAAATCTGGCTGACCATCAGTGACTTGTAAAAGCCCTGTCAAGATTTTCAAGCTACTGGCATGTTATGAGTCTGTCGGTTAAGTAAGGCGATTGAGTGGTCATTTTGTTCTTTGAAAAAACCTTGTAGATCGAATATTTGCTCATCTCACCTTTGGCCTTCCTCACTTTCTTACATGATTTAAAATTAGCACTAGGTATGTCTTCATTCATTTTGCTGATGTAACAAACGGAATAAAATTTAAAAAAATAAAATAAACCCAAATTATCTCAATTCAGTTCGATCAATGGTGGTGGTGGGGAACTGCTACAAAGTATGCACAAGATCATTCATAGCTTTAAAGCCAGGTTCCAGAGGAAAAAAATGACAAAAGAGGTCGAAATATTTTATATGTTGTACAACTGATTTTGTAAGACACAAAAAGGGGGTTACACCCCTTTCCCCCAGTTTTTTAATATTCCAAAATATTTCGTCAAATATGTGTCTTAAGAAAATCAGTTGTACGACATATCAAACATTTCGACCTCTTTTCTTTAAATAAAAAAAAAGTTTTGACTACAGTACTGCAGTTTATCCTGGTAATAATTTGAAAACTAATTGACACAAAAAAGCAACAGTAACTCCGAAAAAGACAGACACAGTTTGAAAAATCGTATTTATTTTATCATTTTCACAAACATTGATAATAAATGCTCACCAATCAATCACCAATATTTACAAAATTACAAAAAAAACAGCAAATAATTGAAAAACGGACCAATCAGATAATGACAAAATTATAACAGACCAATTAAAATAAAGGAATTTTAGAATGAGACAAAATTATCCAATAATACAGGTCTAGTTAAATGTTTTCAACAATAAAATCCAAATCAAATTGTTTTGGGGTTGATTGTTTAAAACGGTTCTTGGCCACTGGCAACTGTTTTTGTTGAATGAGTTAAAAATGATTCCAACAATTAATGGTTTGGAAGCTAGGCCTACTTTAGAGTAACTAATGTGGCGTTAATGCTACAGCAACTTTCCATTTTTTTAGATGCAGAAACCTGTGGAATTAAGATGACTAGCAGTGGAGTACATGCTCGTATCGTTGGGGGGACAAATGCCAAGCGAGGGAGCTGGCCTTGGCAGGCACAGTTGATACTAAAAGGTGGCGGTCACTATTGTGGCGGAACCCTAATTTCGGAAGACTACGTGATCAGTGCTGCACATTGCTTTGCTAGGTAAGTATTCTGACGGTAGATTGACGTTTTATAACTCTTATATTTTGGAAGTATGTGTTTTTATAATTGGGAAGTGTTCGATAAAATATTTATCAGAAAATTTTGAATGTTTGCTATGCCCCTCGATAGACTAAACATACGCAAACATGTGTTCGTGGGACAAGCGAGTATTCCTGGTCCTTTTCTGATTGGTCGGTTGTTTTAATAATTAATAATTAATAATAATATTAATAATAATAATAATAATAATAATAATAATAATAATAATAATAATAATAATAATAATAATAATTACATTATTTGATCCCATTAAACACATATTTATTGCAATGTTTAAAATACATTTTTACCGGGGTTCCTGATTTTACCATTTTGTGTCTGCTGCTGTAGACGCTGTCATGATGTAGCAATTAAAGAGGGCGGAAAGGGTTAACCCGGTTTGGTATAGGCTACAAAGATCTTAACACAAGATAGCGTTCTCCGCGATTTACGCGTGCAAATTCTGTAATAAGGCATGAATGGCGCCCTCTTGCTAAATTGGAAACTTTTGACCCTTGACTGCTCTGACGTCCATACCGTCACCGCGCGACTTTTTACCTTGGGTATCAATCCTGTGAACAGCAGAACAGGAACCATCTCAGATCCGTGGCAACAGATAGGACGCCCTCTTCCAAAACTGATTACTTTTTCTCTTTGGTATAGCGCGTGAATGGTGCCCTCTTGCTAAATTGGAAACTTTTGAACCTTGACCGACGCTTCTATTTGTTACGCGTAAATCGCGGAGAACGCTATCTTGTGTTTAGAAGATCTTTGATAGGCTACAAAGATCTTATAAACACAAGATAGCGTTCTCCGCGATTTAAGC